AATCTTAACAGCAACAACAATGGAGTAACCTGTTTCTTCATAACCTATTTCTCAAATGAACAAACGGAGACTCCAGGAGGCAAAGTGGCAGCCTGGGGCAGAGGGGGTGGAGGGGGCGAGGGGGACGCATCCCCATATCTGACTCCAGAATCCCAGTTCTTTCCACTTGTGGTAGCCTCCTGGACTCTGGGGTGAAAGGTCCGACTGACTCCGGGGTGTTTGCACTTTTGGGGGAGCCTCTGAGGACAATTTCTTTTACTGAAAAATGTTAATTGAAAACGTTTAACTAAAATATAGAAAAGGTCAAAGGATAATATAAGAAAATAACTGTAGAAATCTTTGAACCAAAGATATGATACTGTAATAGGTGAATGGGGGCGGGGGTGGGGGGTGGAAGGCAAGGGAGTGATTTCTTGTTGCTGAGCCCACTGCTTCCGCCCCATCCTGCCCCACTCTGCTCTCCACCTTCAGGCACGCTGGTCTTCTTTCTCTCCTCTCTGGAGCCACATTGCCTCCCACCACAGGGCCTTTGCACTAGCTGCTCCCTTTGCCTGGAAAACTCTTTCACAAGCCTTTGCCTTGTCAGTCACTACCTACCCTTTGTTCTTCTTACTTCTTCAGGGGCTTCCTGGACCCTGTGTGAGGTGGGTTTCCTGACAGAGGTTCCCTCAGCACCTGCTCCTTCCCCTCGATAGCCTGGGCTTCCACTGTGACTATGTTTTTTGAAATCAAGATATAATTCACATACCATCACATTCACCAATTTAAAGTGGAAAAGTCAGTACTCACAGTGCTGTGCAAACCATCACCACTACCTAGTTCCAGAACATTTTCATTATCTCAGAAAGAAACCTGTACCCATTAAATGGTCACTCCCCATTCCCCCCTCCCTCCATCCCAACGCAGCCACCAATCTACTTTCTGTCTCTATGGATTTCCCTATTCTGGACATTTCAGACAAATGGGGTCATACAATATGTGGCCTTTTATAATGGACTTGGAGCCCTGGTGGTGCAGTGGTTAAGAGCTACTGCTGCAAACCAAAAGGTCAGCAGTCTGAATCCACCAGCCGCTCCTTGGAAACCCTATGGAGCAGTTCTACTCTGTCCTACGTGGTCACTATGAGTTGGAATTGACTCGATGGCAACTGGTTTGGTTTTTTGGTTTTTTATACCTGACTTCCTTCATTTAGGACACTGTTTTCAAGGCTCATCCATGTGGTAGTATGTATCAGTTCTTCATTCCTTTTTATGGTTGAATAATATTCCACTGTATGGGATTTGTTTATCCATTCCTCAATTGATGGACATTTGGGTTGTTTCCACTTTCTGGCTATTATGAATAATGCTGTTATGAACATTTGTGTACACGTTTTTGTGTGAACATATGTTTTCAATTCTTTGGGTTTATACCTAGGAGTGGAATTGCTGGGTTATAAGGTAACTCTATGCTTAAAATTTTTTTTTATTGTACTTTAGATGAAGGTTTACAGAACAAATAGTTTCTCATTAAACAGTCAGTACACATATTGTTTTATAGGCTTAAATTTTTAATGGAACTGCCGAGCTGTTTTCCAAAGTGGTACACTGCTGGCTCCCCAGTACAGCTGTTACACGCTGCACAGCTCCATGAGGGCAGGGACGAGGTCTGTCCGCTCACCTCTGCTACTCCAGCACCAGCATTTACTAGAAAATCAGGATCTATCTGTAGGATGAGTGAAAGGTCTCCACCAGCAGCCCTGGCATCCTGCCCCTTTAATGTCTAAGTTGGATCCGGGGGCAGCAGAGGAGGGGTATCTGCCAACAAGTCTGAATCATACAGCCCTGGCCCTCAGCAAAACATGCCTGCCTTGGGCCAGCCTGGCAGTGTCTCTGATTAGCATCTACATAATATATTGGCCTTGGGGGAGTCTGTCAAGTCCAACCCAACAGTGACACATCAGCACAGGCCTGGGCACACAGTAAGTGCTCGATAAAGCCCTAGCACACTGGCCCGACTAGACTGAAGCCTCAAGAGTAGCTGGGCCAGGGAGAAGCAACCAGGTCAGAGAGGCTCTCACAAGCCACATACCAACTGTCATCAAGTTGACTCAGACTCCTGGAGAACCCATGTGTGTCAGAGTAGAACTATGCTCTACAGTTTTCAATGGCTGATTTTTTTTCTCTCTCTCTTTTTTCCAGCTTTCCTGTCCTCTTCTGCCTTCTAGTCCTTGTCCCTGGACTGCTGTGCCTCATTAGTCCCATTTTGTTTTATAGGGCTGTCCAATCCCCAGCTGAACAGTAAACCTCGGGAGTGACTTCACCACTGAGCTAAAAGGGTGTCTGGAGGCCATACTCTCAGGGTTTCTCCAGTCTGTCAGGCCAGTAAATCTGGCCTTTTTTTGTGTGTTAGAATTTTGTTCTACATCCTTCTCCAGCTCTGTCAGAATCCTCTGTTGTGATCCCGGTCAGAGCAGTCAGTGGTGGTAGCGGGGCACCATCTAGTTGTACTGGACTCAGTCTGGTAGAGGCCTTGCTAGCTGTGGTCCATTAGTCCTTTAGACTAATCTTTTCCTTGTGTCCTGTTCTCCTTGTTCTCACTTGTTCCCAAAGAAGTGAGACCAGTGGAGTATCTTAGATGGCTGCTCACAGGCTTTTAAGACCCCAGACGCTACTCATTAAGGTAGAATGTAGAACATTGTCTTTATAAATTGTGTTATGCCTATTGAACTAGATGTTCCTTGAGACCATGGTCCCCACAGCCCTCCGCCCAGCAATTCAGTCCCTCAGGGAGTTTGGATGTGTCTATGGAGCTTCCATGACCTTTCCTTGTACAAGCTGTGCTGGCTTCCCCAGTATTGTGTACTGTCTTGCCCTTCACCAAAGTTACCACTTATCTATTGTCTATAATGGCTGATTTTTTGTAAGTGGATCGCCAGGCCTTTCTTCCGAGGCCCCTCTGGGGGGAATCAAACCTCAACCTGTTGGTTAACAGCCAAGCGAGTTAACCATTTGCACTACCCAGGGGCTCCACATTATTGGTGGTGAAGGGGAATCACACAGCCCCTTTTCACCTGGTACAGGGCTCAGAGATTAGCCTACAGGCAGCTTAGTCATGGAGTAAGGCTTAGTAAGGCAAGGCCCTGGGACCTGCACTTCAAAGGCCCGTCCCCCTGCCCATAAAACCCTTACAGGGCCCAGTGGAGGGGGCACATGCTGCCCTCAGCCAGCCTCGACCTCCTGCAGAGGGGTCACCAGGAATTCTGTGTTTCATCAAATATTGCTGGGCCATGGAGTTTTATTTGAAAATAATTTTAATTAGCCGGAAACTAGGAGTTTAATAAATGGAAAACAGAGAACTTTCCAAGGCCACGGCTGGGAAACACTCGCTTTTTTAAAAATTCCGCCTGACTTGTCCCAGGCCAGCTAAGCACCCTAACACAAGGATTGATTGCCAGAGGAATCCACAAGGAAAACAAAGCTTATTTTTAGAGAAATATTTTAAACTTAGTTTCAGCGAGCTCAGGAGTTTTCTTGTCTGTCTCAAGCCCTTGATATCTTTCCTCCTATTTCAGAGCCGCCTCTCACCCCAGAGGGCACAAGAACTCCTATCTGACAGAGCTATTTCTGCCCAGATGAAAATAAAAGGGCTCCCTCCCCCTCTGCCCAGAGAATTGTTTCTAAAAATGTCCATGCGGAGGGTGAGTAGCCCAGTCTGCCTTTGGCAGGTGTGACCAACCACCGCGATGGGTCTAGGGTCCCCACAGGCCTGGGGGCCCAGCCCCTGCAGCCCTGTCCTGCCCACTGTTGGCTGTAGGAAGCGTGTGACAGCCTGGCCACCATTTCCGGGTTTTGAAAGCAGTTTTAAACTTGAAATAAGCCTGCTTAAAAAAAAAAAAAAGACTGCTATTCCTGGCTAGGTGTTGGTAACACCCCCCCCATAGACACACCCACACCCAAACACATGGCAACACCCAATGACCCTCACACCCCACAGACCCTACACCTACTCACACAACAGCTACACACACACCACAGCAACAGACACACCCAAGCCCACACCAACACCCACACACAGATCTATACATACACCTACAGACACAACCCCCCCAGACACATCCACATGCAGCCCCCCAGTAACACAGACCATCATACCCCACAGACCCACACATCTACTCACACAGCAACAGCTACACACATACCCACCACAGCTACACCCCCAAACCCACAACCACCATCCACACACACACACAGATACAACTCTCACACTACAACAGACACACCTACGCCCAGACCCTCACACCCACACACACCCCAACAGCTACACACAAACAAGCACCCAAATCCACATACCCCACAGACACAGGCCCACACACCAATACCCCTGCAGCAACACCACAGACACACACAGACCCCCAAACACCTGCACACAGAGCAATACCCACAAACATGACTTCCACACTCACAGAGACAGACAAGGACACAGATATACACCCCCCCCACCCCGCCCCATATAGACACATTCCCACACACACTCATACTTTCTAGGTCTAGCAAGAACTGTGGGAAGAGGTGGGGAGAAAGGCCTAGTCAGGGGTGGGCCCTGGAGGTGCTGTGGCTTCCTGCTGCCCTGGCATCCCCCCACCCCCCTCCTTCCCGGGGAAGGCCTGTCCAGCTGGCAGGCCTTGGCTCCGCCCTGGCCCTCCCTTCTTCCCTCTCTCTCTTCTTGGCCTTGCCAGTAGCACAGAACTGGAACTGCCCTGGATAGCCACAGCTCTGCACAACCTCCGGGAGCATGAACAAGGAAAAAACAAATACAATTAAGTGAGGTGACAATCGAGAGTGGCCGCGGGCCCCCGTAAGGAAGGTAAGCTCTGCCCAGCCAGCGCGGCGGCAGACCCTCCCTAATTTACATGGCCAGGACGGCGCAGACCCAACTTCCGGTTTCAAGAAAACACGGCCCGAGAGATACATCCGCCGTCACTCTTGCCACTACCAGCAAAACTGAAGAAGAGCGAGTACCTGGGATAGTTCCTAACTCCAAGTTCAAGCACTGTGTAGCTGGCGTCCTCAAGCACCCGTCCACACTGGGGTTTTTCTGGATAAC